CACCACTCTTACGCCGCTCAGTTGGCCGGTTGCAGTCTCCCTGGCAGACCCCTCTGGGGGTCCTATCCTTGCTAGCTTCTCCACTGTCCTTCCGTGCCCTGCAACCCCTTCTGGCACCCTGTCTGATCTGTACCTCCCCTCGTTCTCTACGAACTTGGTGAGAGGAGCGGACCTACAGGATCGAGGGGTTGACCAGTTCACTCCTGCGAGTCAGCGAGTGACCCACAGCACGTATGCTCGGACACGCTGACACTTGGCCACGTTCACGCGTCGGCCAGGGTCGGGCCTTAACACCCTTACTACTAAGTCTCCTCCTACCGCTAGGTCTACCCAGGTAGCTCCGTTGAGTCAGGTGTTTGCTTCGGCGTTCAGGTCTGGTCCAAAGTCTGCCCCCTGCTCGTGTCGTCTGCTTTCCCACCAGACTCTCCTTTGGCACCACCGCCTTGGTCACCCCTCCTTGCCTTGTCTCCGAGGCATGGCCTCCCGTGTCCTTCTCTCTGGTCTTCCTCGGTCTCTCCCTCCCCTTCCTCCGGGGCCTGGCCCTACCTGCGTCCCCTGCGTCGAGGGGCGACAGCGCACCGCCCCTCACTCCTCCGAGTTTCCTCTGACAGAGGCTCCGCTGCAGACTCTACAAATGGACGTGTAGGGCCCAGCCCGCGTCAGTGGGCAGGGGCGAGAGCGGTACTTTCTGCTGGTCGTTGACGACTACTCGCGTTACACCACAGTCTTCCCCTTGCACAGCAAGGGTGACGTCACTGAGGTGTTGATCGACTGGATCCGCGCAGCTCGTCTCCAGCTCACAGAGAGTTTCGGCTCGGACTTTCCTCTTTTGCGTCTGCACTCTGACAGAGGCGGAGAGTTTTCCTCTGCCCGTCTGGGAGCCTTCTCTCGTGCACAGGGTATCCGCTAGACCTTCACGCTTTGGGCCTCTCCACAGCAAAATGGGATTGCTGAGTGCCGCATTGGCATGGTCATGAACGTCGCTCGTACGTCCATGATACATGCGGCTGCCCCTCTTTTTTTGTGGCCGTTTGCGGTTCAGTACGCCGCGCATCAGCTCAACCTTCAGCCACAGGTCTCCTTGCCAGAGACCTCCCCCGCCTTACGGTGGACATGGAAGGTTGGCGATGCGTCTGCGTTCCGTGTCTGGGGATCTCGGGCGTTTGTCCGCAACTTGTCTGCGGACAAGCTATCCCCCCGTGCTGTTCCTTGCGTCTTCCTTGGCTTCCCCCCTGACGCGCCTGGGTGGGAGTTTTACCACCCCACCTCGCGCCGTGTTCTATCCTCCCAGGACGTCACCTTTGACGAGTCGGTACCTTACTACCGTCTCTTCCCCTACCGCACTACGCCCCTCCCCCCGCCGCCGCTCTTCCTTGCGCCATGTGCTACCCAGGTAGACCCCCTCCCTCCTCAGGGTCCTGCCCCTTCAGGTGTGTCCCAGGTAGACGCAGTCGAGCCTTTCGAGGAAGCTGTTGACTCTGGTGCTGCTAGAGGTGCTGAGCCTGCGGGTGCCGGGTCTGCGGGTGCCGGATCTGGGGGTGCTGAGCCTGGGGGTGCTGAGTCTGGGGGTGCTAAGCCTGGGGGTGCTGAGCCTGGGGGTGCGGAGCCTTGGGGTGCTGGGTCTGCTCGTGTGGCCGCCGGCAGTGCTTCGTCGAGGCGGGATCCGCTTTCTCCACAAGAGCTGCGCGACTGGTTCGTCCGCCACTGGAGACGTGCTGCTGAGTTTGGGGGTGCTGCTGGAGCTGCTGTCGGTGCTGGCACTGCTGGAGGTGGAGCTGCTGGGGGTGTTGGCGCTGGTGTTTCTACAGGAGCTAGTGCGCCTGGGGGTGGTGCTTAGGCATCTTGTGCTGACGGTCCTACTGGAGTTAGTGCTGCTGGAGCAGAAGCTGCTGGGGGTGTTGGCGCTGGCGGTGCTGCTGGCGCAGGTGCTTTTGAGGGTACTAGAGTTGGCGCTGCTGGAGCTGGAGGTTCTGCTGGCGCAGGTGCTGCTGCTAGGGGTAGTGGTGCTGTCCTTGCTGGTTCTGGAGGCGCTGAGCGGCCGAGGCCGTACTTCGTTCCGCTCCTGGAGCAGGTTCTTGATCTCCCTCTCTCTCCTGGTCCTGCTCCTTCCTTAAGAGTGTCCACGGCCTGTCCCGTCGCAGTCACAGTTACCGCCCGCCTCCCCTCTACCTTCTCCTTCTCCCTACACTGGTCCTACTGGAGGTCTTGCTGAGCGTCATGAGCCTGCATCTCGTCTTGCGTCGCCTGTTCGTGCTGCTCGCACTACTGGTCGTACTGCACGTCCGCGTCCTCCTGCGGTCCCCGGCACACACCAGATGGCACTGCGTCCGTCCACTGCTCCTGTGCGTGTCCCTTTGCCATCTCCTCCAGAGTCCTCTCTTCCTCCTCTTGCTGACCCGGAGTCTGAATCCCTTCGTGCTGCTAGTTCTTCAGTCACGCGCCTTCTTGCTACTGTTGTCACTGAGCCTTCCTTTGAGTCCACTGCTGCGTCTGCCCTAGTTGCTGCCTGGGGCGAACATCGTTAGTGGGATGTGGATTTTCAGGGTGAAGCAGCCTCCGGGCTCTCCGCCTTTCTTCAAGGCGCGCTACGTGGCTCGAGGCTTCAATGAGGGGAAGGGAGTTGACTACTTTCAGACCTTCTCTCCCACCCCGAAGATGACCACTCTTCGGGTGCTGCTGCACATAGCCGCTCAGCGCGACTACGAGCTTCACTCTCTTGACTTCAGCACAGCTTTCCTGCAGGGCAGCCTGCATGAGGAGACCTGGCTGCGCCGCCCTCCATGCTTCACTGGGTGGTTTCCTCCTGGTACCCAGTGGAGCCTCCGGCGGCCACTCTACGGTCTCCGCCAGGCGCCCCATGAGTGGCATGACACACTGAGGACCACACTTGCGGCTCTTGGGTTTGCTCCTTCTACAGCCGACCCATCGCTGTTTCTACGCACCGACACCTCTTTGCTGCCGTTCTACATCCTCGTGTACGTCGACGACTTGGTCTTTGCCACTGCTAACACTGCTGGACTCGTGCACAAACGAGCTGCAAAAGAGACACACGTGCACAGACCTGGGTGAACTGCGCAGCTACCTTGGCTTGCAGATCACCCGGGACAGAGCACTGCGCACCATTACCCTGACTCAGTCACACATGGTGCAGCAGGTCCTTCAGCGCTTCGGCTTCACGTACTCCTCCCCTCAGGCCACTCCTTTGTCGACTCGCCACTCGCTCTCACCTTCGGATGAGTCCGTAGAGTCGAGTGGCCCGTACCCAGAGCTTGTTGGTTGCCTCATGTACCTGATGATCTCCACACGACCTGACCTTGCATACCCTCTTAGCATCTTGGCACGCTATGTTGCTCCTGGGAGACACAGACGAGAGCACATGGCTGCAGTGAAGAGGGTGTTGCGCTACGTGTGCAGCACGTTGGGCATGGGGCTAGTGCTTGGAGGGAGACGTCGAGTAGTCCTCACAGGTCACGCTGACGCTGACCAGGCTCTGCAGTGGTCGTCACAGGGTTACACCTTCAGCCTTGGCTCCGGCTCTGTTTCGTGGCTGTCTACCCGCTCGTCCTCTGTTCTCGGCTCCAGCTCTAAGGCTGAGATCTACGCGGGGGCCATGGCTGCACAGGAGCTACGCTGGCTCACCTACCTGCTGACTGAACTAGGAGAGCCGCCTCGTTCTCCTCCAGTTGTGTACGTAGACAACAAGGCCATGTTGTCCTTGTGTCGTGAGCACAGACTGGAGCTCAGAACGAAGCACATTGCTCTCTGCTACTTCCTGTCTCGTGAGCTTCAGCAGCGTGGTCAGCTCTGTCTCACCTACGTGGCATCTGAGGCCAACACTACTGATATCTTCACCAAGGCCCTTCTGCCTTGTGATCATCAGCGCTTCTGTACTGTGCTAGGTCTTGTGCCTACCTGGCCTCACTTGCTCACTTCTTGATCTTGTATGTACTGTCTCCTTTCTATAGCTGCCCTTGCTTGTTTTACCTTCATATATATGACCTTGCATGTGAACTGGCCTTGTGGCATTACTCTTGTGCTCGGACTGTGTGGTGACTTCTTCAATTTGAAGCCTGCTGGGAACGGTGTCATCACAGTGCGACCCCTAGTCACACCATACCGCTCCATGACATTAGAGATGTAGTGTGACTGATGCACCTTCAGCCACCTCCTCTCAACATCCCTCTCAATCTGCAGCCCCAAGTAGAAGTGGACATCCCCCAGCATCTTGCACTTGAAGTTGTCCATCAGCAGTTTCTGTGTCCTCTCAATCTACTCCATGGAAGGTGAGAACAGCAGTATGTCACCGACATACACCAACAGCAAAAGCAGCTGCTCCCCCTCTCCAAGCAGAAACAAACTGTGATCCGCGTGGGACGTCTTGAAGCCTCCACCCAGCAGCACCTCCTCCAGCTTCTCGTACCAACACCTGGGCGCTTGCTTAAGGCCATAGATGGCCTTCTTAAGCTTGCACACCCGGCTGGTCCCATCCCCATAGCCGTCGGGCTGCGCCATGTAGATATCCTCCAGCAGTATTCCATTGAGGAACTCAGTGGTGATATCCATCTGCTTCACGTGCCATCCCTTCATAGCTGCGCCAGCCATCAAAGTCCTCAATGTCACTGGCTTAGCAACGGGAGCAAAGATCTCCCCTAAGTCGACCTTCTCCTTCTGCTGAAACCCCTTGGCGACCCAGCAGCTCTTGAACCGCTCCAACGCACCATCAGCACCACTCTTCACTTTGAAGACCCACTTGCTGTTGATCGGCCGTCGCCCCTCGGGTAACTCAACAAGCTCCCAAGTCCCATTCTCAATGAGACTGTTGAACTCCGCATCCATGGCAGCCTTCCACTCCTCCTTTTGGGGTCCACTCAGTGCCTCCTCCACTGTGGCTGGTTCTCCAGGCAAGGGTGTGAAGAAACAGAACGCCATCTCCTCATCCTCTCCCTCATCCGCCTGAACCGCCATGGCACCTTGCTTGGGTCCTCCCAAACGGCTATACTTCAGCCTTGAGGGTGCTGCTGCCACTCTTTTCTCGCGGGTTGCAATCTGCTGCCATGTGGTGAAGCTCCTCTCTGCACACTCCTCTTGGTGACCTTGGCGTTTGCAGCAAGCTCGGGCTGAGATGGTGAGTCCACACGTGCCGACTCATCCTCCAACCCCTCCTTCGCAGCAGGACCAGCACCTTGCTGCTCACCACCGCCACTGTGGTCACTGGTCAGCTCTGACCCAGGGAGATCCTCAAGGTGCAGCTGAAACTCCTCCACTGCAGACCGCTCAATCTCCTGCAGACGCAAGCCAATCTGCACCTGCTGCTGCTGCTGCTAGTCCTTGTACATGACGTCCTCCACAAACTTGACGTCACGGCTGACCAGCGACTTCTTGCTCTTGGGGTCCCACATCAGCCACCCCTTCGAGTCAGGAGCCATCCCAAGATGGACAGTCCACACAGCAGCAACTTCCAGCTTGTGCCTCTGCTCCTTAAACACCATCACAAGCCCCATGCAGCCCCACACACGCAGCATGTCAATAGATGGCTTCTTCCCAAGCCAACGCTCGTACGGCACCCAATGCTTGTCGCCAACATGAGTCAAGACCCTGTTCTTGACCGTGATGATATGGCGAACAGCTTCAGGCCAGAACTTGTAAGGCATCTTAGCAGCCCCCAACAAGGTCTTAGCCGCCTCGCCAATGGTCCGGTTGGCACGCTCAGCAATGCCGTTTTGCTGCGGTGTTCCACGGCAGGTCAGCTGATGTTGGATGCCATTTCACTTGAGGAACTTGGTGAATTCCGCTCCAAGGAACTCTCCACCTCGGTCGCTCCTCAGCACCTTCACCAGCCGCATCGCTTGCCGCTCCACCACCGGCAACCAATCCTCCTTGATCGCCGTTGCAGCATCGCTCTTCTTGGACAAGGGACGTGCCCACGTAAAACGGCTCCATTCGTCCACCATGGTGAGGAAGTACAGCACTCCCCCAGTCCCCTCAGTCCTCATAGGACCCACCAGGTCCATGTGCACCACCTCCAATGGTGCCTTCACTGATCCCTCCGCTCGTGGGAACGGGAACCACGCAATCTTGTTTTGCATGCACGCCTCGCAACTGCCATAGTGAGTGCCATCTCCTTGCAGCTGCAGCCCATGCACGCACTTCTCTTTGTGCATCACCTCCAATGTAGAAACAGCCACGTGTGCGAGCCGCCGATGCCAAGTCTCCCACTCCGCTTGGCCCGAGGTAGCCGACGCCTTCACCGCCGCGCTTCCTCCAATCAGCTCCTCTCCTTGCACACCTTCATGCTCCTCCTCGGTGACACTCTCCTCCATAGATGCCGCCGCTGCCGTCTTGCCTGATTTCCGCCAAGGGAGGACCGGGATCTGCCACATCCGCTTGTGGACATCTCCCTTCCACTGCACGTCCCAAATGAGACGCTCATCGTTGTAGGCACGATAGCGCTCCGAGCCAATCGTCTTGGTGTTCACACCCGCATCTCCCAACCGGCCGGTAGAAATCAGGTTTGCGCACAAGTCCGGCACCCACAGCACGTTCTTCAGCCCCACGAGCTCTCCATCCGCTCCCATGAACTTGGCGCACCCCATGCCCATGACCTTGGCCTTGGCGCCCGTCGCAGATGTGACTGTAGAGATCGGTGCGGGCTGAATCTCGTCAAGTAGGTCCGCACGAGGAGTCATGTGCCAAGAGCTCGCGGAGTCAATCACCCAATGGGTGAGGGGGTGTAGGAGAATCTTGGCAGCCATAGCATGGTCGGTTGCACCTTCGTTCGCGAAGAAGAACCCGGCCTTCCGCTCCTCAGATTTGCCACCTTTCTCCTCATCCTTCTCCTCTCCACTAGCTCCCATGACTCCCCCACTCCTCGTGCCACCACGCTGGTTGCTTGATGAAGGCGGGATCCAATCCTTGGGTCGTTGGTAGCACTTCTGCCAACGATGTCCGCGCTTCTTGCAGTAGAAGCACACCTCCCCCTGACCCCGGCCGCCATCCTCCTTAGGGTTATCCTTGTTCTTGCCCTTCCACTTCTTCTTGAAGCCACTCTTTCCACCTTCAACTCCATAGCCAGCCCCCTCCTCCGAATGCTCCACACTCCGCCGCCGCAGGTCCTCCTCTAGGATGCGCGCGCGAATGTAATCCACGCTCCATTGGGGTTGTTGGGAGTTGAGGTTGATCGCTAGGGCAGACCATGACTCCGGCAGCCGTATCACGATCTCCATGCATTGCACGAGCTCCGGGTACACCACACCGCCTCCTTGGAGCTTCGTGAAGATGTCGCGCATCTCATCCAACACCGGTTGCATCGGCTCTCCATCAACGAACTTGATGTTGCACAGCCACCGCGCGAGTAGCACGATGCCGGTAGCATGTGTCGGTGAGTGCACATCCACAAGCTTCCTCCAAGCCTTGGGGCCACACTCTGGATCACCCAAGAGGTCCTTGATGTGGTCAAGTTGTCGTCCGCCAACCGCTTGCACCATGAGCATGTACGCGTCGAACGATCGCTTCATCCACGCTCCTTTCAGCTCTGTGGCCTCCGGCATCTTCTCCTTCCCCTCCACCAAATCCAATAGCTTGTATTGGATATACATCAGCCTCATGCAGAAACTCCAGTGCTCGTAGTCCTCCCCCATGAATTTCTCAATAGAGAAAGCTTTCACAGGATCCACGGTAGTAGGAGATGGTGTAGAAGAAGTAGGTAGCGAAGGGTTGGCTGTTTGGTGAGTCCCCACTCCTCCACCAACAACTCCCCCCAGTTCTCCAGCCTCTCTACTTCTATCCATCTCGCCACTAGCACCTCCAGAGTTCGTACCAACCATATTGAGGCCTTATGAACGGTGGAAACTTGAGAAATCGTTTGGAGAGTAATCTGCCAGAAATTTTGATTCTACGAAAATCGCCGTCGCGGACTAGATACTTCGAATTAGAACGCGGTTCAACCACCAATCGAACGTTCGCAAGCAGAGCTACTAGAAAATGGTCTCACTCGACAACATTAGTTGAGAATTGATGACGATTCGTCGTCTCAAAGTCGACTACCCGCTCTGATACCACTTGTTGTTCAGAATCCGTCACTTTGAGAGCTTACGACGTTAAACTAAACGCAAATCCGCTTGGTAGGACGTTGTGCCTTAGACTTAGCTACCATCTCCAAGTTGAATCAGTCGTTAAGATGGTGTATAGAGTGAGAACCAAGTAAAAACGTCTAGCAGCCGCATGACTAGAATTGTGGAGGAAGTACAAGCATCAAGGCATAGAAAGTTGGAGTTGGGGACTCCAAGAGAACCATGAGAGAGAAGGAGTCCTCCAAGAGCTAGGGAAGGATATTAGGAACCTTCCCAACAGCAAGGATGCAACCCTCATCATGAGGTCCTTGAGGTGTCACATGCAAAATCCAATCTAGTTGGATTTTGCCTAGGTGTTGCAACATTTGCAACCCATGCTAGAAACTTCTAGCCACCCCAATCCAAAAGTCAAAGTTGCCTTCCTAACCACCCAACCAAAGATCCCTTTATAGTCATGTCCCAAGTAATCACCCAAATTAGATATAACCCCAAAACGTAATAAGAAATCCAGATCTCGGAGATCTTGTAACTTGGGCGATCTAGGTCGGAATAAGGTGATCTTGGTGTCGTTGGAAAGCTCTGGATTTCTCCTGCATGATCAAGCATTTGGACTTGGAGAAAAACACAGAGATGATAATATCCAACAGCCATGCACAATGACATACGCTCATGCAAATCATGCAAGCACAAATAGCACGAGCACTCGGCAGGACGTTAGGATGACATGCACTCAGAATGACGTGCATCCAACAAGGGAGAGGGGACATCCTTGACGTCCTCAGCAGCAGGCTCTGACTTCAACACCTCCAGCGCCATGTTCTCATAAAACACCACATCCGACGTGGAGACCACCCGGTTGTCGGCAATGTCAAGGAGCTCCCAGGCCTTACTCTCCTTCGACAAGCCAAGATGAAGGCCCCAGCGAGCCTTCGGCTTCAGCTTCCCACCACGCTTTTGCTCGGGGACGAGGAACTGCGCCATGCATTCCCACACGTATGCTAGCAACAAGTCGGGCTTCTTCCTGGTGAGCAGCTAGTACGGCATTGTCCATGGCGGCAGTGTCGACCTCTTCAGGCAGTTGCGGACCCAGACGGCCTGCTGCAGAGCGAGGTGCCACCTATGGTGTTGCACGCCCATGTGCAGCAGCATCGTCTGCACCGACTCTACCACCATCCTCATCTCCCACTCCACCATGCCATTCTACTGCGGGGTGTATGGGCAAGTTAGGTCGTGGACAATCCCCTTGCCGTTCGTGAAGTCTGTGAACTGCTTCCCGAGGAACTCCCCTCCCCGGTGAGAGTGCAGCATCAGAACCGACTTCTTCGTCTGCACAAATTCCTACAGCGCATCTGACTTCTTGGCGACCAGCCTCACCCATACGTAGCGGCGCTTGCGGTCCTTTAGCAGCAAGAATTACAGGCTGCCATCCTTGGCAGTCACCCGAAATGGCCCGCACAGGTCGATGTGCACGACGGCCAGCACGTCGTCGGCGTCGGGGCCCTAGTCGGGAAAGTTGTGCCGCGCCAGCTTCCCGCCAACACACAAGACACAAGGGACACACGGGACACACGGTGAGTCGGCACCAAACGCCGACTTGAGGTCCATCCCAGTGGCGACCTCGTGCTTCGCCGAGCTCCGAATGGTGTCCATGCCGGCGTGTGCAAGTCTCGCATGTAGCTTGTCCGGCGTCGACTTTGTCGCGGAGACGATCACTTGCAGAGCGATCACCTCCGTCGTGGTCGGCGTTAGCTTCCCCGAGCAGGGTCAAAGGTTGGTGCAGAGGACCCGGCCGGAGTACGTCGCCCTACCAAGCACGTCCCCCGTCGCCAAGATGAGGAGCATCTCGTCGTTGTTGTCCTGCAGCTTCAACCCGTTCTCCTTTAGCTGGTCGGATTACAGCAGGTTCTCCTGCACACTCGGCACATAGAGCACGTCGCGGATGAGCACCCTCTTATCAGCGGTACCTTGCATAGCGACGGTGCCACGGCTGTGGTCGTCCTGCAGCGCCCCATTGAAGCTGCGCACGTGCTTCACATCGCCACTCGGCTCCAAGTCGACGAAGGCCTCCTTCGTCCCCATCGGGTGGTGCGAGCAGCCGCTGTCGAGCACGACCACCGCCGGATTCGCCTACACAGCTGCTGCCACCGCCTGGAAGCCCTTGCCAGCCTCCGGCGCCAGCGAGACGGTCGCCTCCACCACGCCAACCAGCGAGCACGACGCCTCGTCGTCGTCTCGCCCCTTATGACCAGCAGAGGGGTCGGAGTCCTTTGCCGAGGTCGACGTGGTCGACTGATTCTCCTTGTGCTGCTTGCTTCCTCCTCGACAAGGACGATGGTTGCCAGGCCTCCCGCGGCCTCCCTTTGCGTCGCCGTTGTCGGAGTCTCTGCGGTCGGGACACTCGAAGGAGAGGTGGTCGGGGTCGCCACACAGCCAGCACTTCCGACGTCGACTTCCTCCTCCACGACCACTATCTTTGGCCGACTTCTTGTCGGCGTCCTTGGTCGACTTCCAGCCACTCCTACAACCGCCGCGAGACTGCCCACGCTGCCCCGGACGACCACCTTGTTTCTCCGGGGCGACGTTGTTTGCCTGCGCCAGGAGATTCTGGGAGCGCTCAGCTTCCTGCATTGCCTGGTCGTGCAAGATGTACGAATTCAAGGTGTCTTTGTTGAGTGTCACTCTTGTGCTCGACGCCATCGACAGCCGCTTCAGTAGGTTGTAGCTGCTCGGGAGACCCTGCATGACGTGCGTGACGTACAAGAACGTTGAGTACTGCGCGCCGGCCATCCTTATGTTGGCTGTGAGAGTACGACGGCTTAAGTCAGCTATGCTTGCTTGCCTAGACTTTATTATGCTATTTCTAGCAAAGGTTTATTTTATGCATGCATGAATTGCTTGATTTCCTAGGCTAGGTGCTCTCCTATATTTTATAGCACCGAGCTAGGTTGCGTACACCGAATTCTGGGCATTTTGGTTGCCACCGAATTGCCTTCTTGCGAATTCGGGAAGGGTCTGTTCGGGACGCTTCGTGACCTTCAGAACCTTTTCGTGACACCTGGTTACTGGGCCTTGTGTCGAGCCTATACATAGCCTCGTGTTGTACCCAGGTGATCATTCAATTCACATTCTCTTTTCTGAGCTCGATCCTAGATCCTCACAGTGGCGAGAATTCGCCGAGCTCAGTTGCAGTAGTCAGACGCAGTCTCCGGGTCGCCCATGCGCATGTGCGTCATTTGCCCCTCAAGCTCGCCGATGAACAAGTCGTAGGTGACCTGTTACGTCAACTCGATGAAGTGCCACGCCTGGTGGTCGTCGTCGAGGTACTCCCAGCATGACTTAAAGGCAATCTGTACGCCCGGTGAGCAGCACGGCGAGATGACCGTGAAGGTCAGCAGCTGCACCACGCGAAACTCCACACTTAGGTCGGGGTCTTCCGGCGCCGCCACGGTACCGCGGGCAAAGCCAATCAGCCCTGCCATCTCCAACTAGGGCTCGATGGCTTCCTTCCCTGTGAGAATGTCGGGTCGGCGGACTAGTAGGGGGGTGACCAAGATCCTATCCGGCATAAACTTGAAGTAGCAGTAGCTCGGTGCAAACCCGCCCGCCGTCACGTGGATCGCCGACATTGGCGACAATCCGCTTCGTCGACCTCTGACGTCGCTCTGCGAGGAGCCTGCAGCCGCGGACGACCGCATTCATCGCGCCTGAACGCCGCCGACTTCATCGGTGTGAATCACACCTCGCTGCCTCGACGTGCCTCCCAAGTCGACTGCTGCCGACTTGGTCACCACCTGCGTGGATGCCCGCATCAATGCCACCGTCTGTGTTCACCGATCGAGGAGGGACAGGCCGAGAAGGGTGCTCCATCGCCCACACGGCACGGATGCCAGCCTCGACGACTGCCTAGAGCATGTCGCCATACTCGTTAGCCTCGTGACGTCTCCTCGCGTTCTCCAGCCGTGCATCCAAGGTGTCCACCACCCCCGTGTCAACTACGGCGCCTACCATGGTGACTATCGCACAGCTGCCGGCCTACGAACTCAATAGGTAATTGACCACTACGTTGACCTGACTGAAACGTAAGTTGTGTGCCGTCCACGCTCACCGCACCATGCGGAGATAGCTAGTACAACGGGAGCTAGAATACGGGCTAGGCACACGTGCTCGTGTGATCTATGCGTTCCGTAGTCGTTTTCCTAGTGCACACATTGCTTGCTAGTTTAGTGGGGAAATTTGGCAAGAATTTCACTAAAGAAAGTTGACAACAAGGGTACAATAAAGTTGGCAAGACAAGACTATATCAAAGCTAGGATGCAGGTCGGTCGACTGCCAGGGTAGTATGGTCGAACACGTGTCGACTTGGTCGACTCCGCTCCAGCAGTGCAAAGTTGCGGGTTGCCAACACTGCAGGTTGACGGTGTGACAACAGCGCAAGTTGATGGCGGGCCAGCGTTGCTCCCATAGACTAGCATCGCACTAGCTTCGCAGGTGCTTGTAGATGATTGGCGTGCGGTGATTCGTCACCT